TCCAGCTCACTAGCCCTCTCTCTTTCTTAGGACCATTTTTCCTTAATAATCTATCTCCTTTTCTATTACTAGCACACATCCCTCATACAAGTCTTTGTCCTGGGATGCAAGAACCTGGATATCTCAGTGGATGCCCTTGCCTCTGACTCTGATCTGTACATACAGCAGCTACCTAGTGAGTTTGAGGCCAACCTGGGTATATAAGACCCTGTCTTTAAAAAAATCAGCTTATATCATGAAACTCATCTGCTGTGATCACCATTAAAAGAATATTGGGACTGAAGAGATGGTTCAGGGGACAAGAGTGCTTACTGTATAAGCACGAGGACTTAAGTTCAAATCTCCAGCACCCACAAAGAAAAAAGCCACACATGACTGTGTGTGCCTATAACCCCAGTGTATAGGAAGCAGAGACAGAAGGATTTCTAGGGCTTCCTGGCCACAAGCCTAGCTCCAGGTCCAGTGAGGGACCGTTTCTCAAAGGAGTAAGTCAAGAGTGATAGAGCAGGTGACTAAGTGTCTTTCTTCTGGCCTCCACAAGCACTCACACAGAAGTGTATACTACCATATGCACATATTCATGCAGCACACACACACACACACACACACACACACATTTTTAATTAAGAATAAAAGTAAAACAACAAAACCCTCAATATTTATTTTTATCTACTGCAATATTCTTCACCTTCCATTAAAGGGACTGGTAGCATAATAAAGATGGGACATAATTTTTTTAAATCTGGTCTTTTTTTTGGTCTTTTGAGACATGGTCTCCCTGTAGCCCCAGCTGGCCTGGAACTCGCTATGGAGACCAAGCTGGCCTCAGTCCCATAGAGATCTGCCTACCTCTCCCTCCTGAGTGCTGGCACTTTATAAAAATATGTGCTACCATGCCCACGTTTTTTCTTTTCTTTCAAAAATTTTTTATATATTAATAAAAGAAAAAAATCTGATAAGAACATGATAAAAATTAAAATGCTTTTATTTGTTCAACCAAAAACTAATGGAAAAAGACACTTTCTACACTAACGTTAAACCATAATTATCATGATACAGGAAAAGTGGGGCGTCTTTGAATTTGGTGAAGCCTTTCTCTCTTACCTCAAGTGAGCTTTAATTCAGGAGTTGGGGTGATGGATATGTTCACACAAAATTTTCACTGAGTCAGTGGCCTCTGGGTTCTTGTCTCAGGAATGCAAAGCATGAAATTCACAGACCACAGATGAGTTTTAGCAAGAAATTTTATGATAGATTCATAAGTGGGACCTTAAACTAAAAAAAGAAGGCAGAGTTCTTCAGGAGCAGTTCCCCAGAAATGGGTTACCACTGAGGTCCCACTTTGGAGTTAGTAAGCTTTACTGAATGAAGGCGTGAGGGGTGGTGAACCTGTCAGTCCAGTTGGCCCATCCACACAGTATCCAGGTGACTCAGTTTTGATTATATCCTCACATAGTTTCCAGGCAGGGGTAGTCATTTAGGGGAAGAGAGATAAGAAAAAAAGCAGCCCTCCCTTCTGGAATCCTAGTTTGCTGCTGAGGGCAGAACTAAAGTCATTTTATTATGGAAATGGAAGAGCAGGTCAGATGCTAAAAACTTTTGCAATATGATGGTAATTAAGAACTCTGGAGCAGGAAAAGCGTGGACATAGAAATGGGGAAGTGAACAGGAATCTTCCCCTGCCCCCTGTGGTTATCTAGGATAGAAGTCTTTGTTTTCCAAAGCTATCACATTCCTGTAACCCTGTATAGAAATCTTTGTTTCCCAAGGCTTTTGCATTTCTGGTTACCTTTGCATTTCTATTACCTTTGCAGCCCTATGTTAAGTATATGCTATATACCTTTTGCTTGCATTCCTCACATGGGAGTATAAAAACCCTCCAAAACTTGAACAAGGGGTCTCATTCTTTTTATCCATGGGTCAGACCCACTAGTGTCAAAATAAACTCCCTCTCCTCACCTAAGTTCCACTGTGGTCTCTGATTTTTCTTTAAAAACATTTCTGGAAGTCCCCAGTGAGATCAAGAGATCAGGTCACCGCACCCCTGTTGGTAATAAAGGCTGCTGCTCCTGGACCCTGCAGCCCTCTAGACCCCTGGAACAATGAAGTATGCACCCCTGAAGAATTTCCTCTCCGGAATCTCCTTCCAGGAGGCCAGAAAGAGCTGCGTAGCCCCGGACCAGAGCCTCTCACCAAGTGAAGCGAGACAGAGACCCAGAATGGATATCCGGACCAGGTAATGGGCCCCAGGTTAGACAGGTGGGAGCCGGTGTGGGCTGATCCCCAGCAGGAGGCTACATACGAAGTCTTGACATGATTCCAAGATAGCACTGGCCTCCAGTCAGGAAGGAAAGGGGACCACAACTAAATCTCGACGTGATTCTGAGGTGCTGGCCTCATTTAAGGTTAAACAGGAATCAGGCAGGAAACTAAACCACAACTAAACCTTGATGTGATTCCAAGCTCCTGGCCCCATTTTAGGTAGAACAGGAATTTATCAGGAATAACTAGGGAACAACTGTCTTAAACTCTGAATGATTGTGCGTGAATGAACATGAGAGTGAGAGTAATGGCTCCACGGCTCTGTGCAGCCATGGAATCTGACTGGGCCTCACTCAGTGGTTCCGCTGAGGTCATGTAACCTAACCAGGCACTCACCTTTGGGTGGCTGAGCATGGGGATTATACATTTGGCCCTAAGGAAATGTTAAGAGTAGCAAAAAGCCCTATAAATTTAACTGGTCAAGACTATAAAATCCCTAGTCATCTGTTGGAAGACCCACCTTTCCAACCTCACTGGTCAATCACCTGATGATAGTGTAAGAGTGAAACCACAGAGGACAAGCCAGCCTTCGGGTTGCAACAGCAAGAGGTTTATTTAGTACACAGGTACCTGTGGGCACAAAGTCTCCTCGGGGGACTTGCGTGCCTCAGGTCGGGTTTGTGGAACTTTTATAGAGCAGAAGCAGGATACAGAAGCAGAAACGCGGTTATTGGTTCGTTTAAACTATTACAAAATGCTACAGGGAGAGCTTTTTTTTTCATTCCTCCCTTTTTCTTTGTAACTATGGAGGGGCATCTTTCCCTCCTTTATAGATTATCAGGGTCACTTGTTTCTAGGGCTTGGTATTGGCTAGTCAGCACTAAGGTTTGGACAGCTGACAGCCTTTCTCGCATGAATTGAGTCAACCGGTTGAAAATGCAGGGGCCTATTGTTAGGATTAAGAGTAGGGACACCAGGGGCCCAACAAGGGGTAGAAGGTAAGGCAGAATTCCGTTCCACATGCCCCACATGGGGTTAGCAAAAAGCTCCTGTCGCCTTTTTTCTAGTTCCTCTTGGTGTTTTTTAATCCGATCTCTGACGATCCCGGACTTGTTGGTATAAAAACAGCATTTTTCCTGTAATGCTAAACAGATACCTCCCTTGTCTGCTGTTAGTAGATCAAGTCCCCGTCTATTCTGTAAGACAACCTCGGCTAGTGAGTCTACCTGGTCCTGAAGATCTTGTACAGACCGATAGACCATATTTACATCATTAATTAACTGTTGAGATAATTTGTTGTAAGTGTCTATTGCCACTCCTACACCAGCTGAGCCCGTAGCGAGGGCTCCTGAGATACCCAGTCCAATAAGCAATGGAATAAACTGGACCGCTCGTTTGTGCCTAGGAACGAATGTGTCAAAGCTAGGCAAAGGCACAGGCTCATCTCCTGGAATTATGTCTATGTCTGGCAAGAGCAATGCAGGGGCACATGAACCAGTCCAGTTAGTGGGTAAATAAGGATAGGCCATGTTATTTCCACATACATAAATTTTCCCCCCCCTAAACAGCCTGTCTGAGAGGTGTTTATAAACCTAGAGCAGGTAGTAAACATAGCTAATCCGAGGTCTACATCAAAGGAATTATTTTGAAAGGGACTAAAAAGGCAAATAGATGTGTTGAAGTAGCGAGGCTGGACCTTAAAAGGCGTGGTATAGCTACAAATATCCGGAGAGGGGAGTATATTAGACTCGTTACTTAAAGGTAAAACTAGAGGCCATGAAATTCCTAATGCGAGACACAGCCAACAATCCTCTGCCAGGGAAGGGTTGGAACGGTTTAGGACATCATGGGTGGCAGTAAGGATCTCCATGGTCTGAGGGTCTAAATTAAGGCCTCTAGGTTTGGGTAGCAATAGTGGATGGTAATGAAGGCGGGGCAAGAGAGACTCCCTTTGTTTTTGCAACACAGTTTGGACATAATTTTCTTTAACCTGGTCTGTAGGGCCCCCTCCATCTGATATGTGAATCGGAGCTTGTTGCGGCCAACATGCCTTTTGTCCAGGTTCTACATAGCAGCCTGCACTAAGGGTTTTTGAATTATAACTTTCTGGTCCTATTACCTGAGTGTTAAGACTCCAATCTGAGCCCCCAGAGGCCTTTTTATAAGAAATGGCCGTAGAATAAAAATACAGGATGTTATTGAACCGACATTCAGTAAAAGAAGCATAACAGGATGAGTGCATAGCTTCGACGAAATTACAATCAGAGGGGCACTCACCATTAGCTGGTGGTAAGATAGGTTTAGGCTTAGACACACATTTCCAGCTCTGTTGGTGCTGCTGAGTAGGTGTACTATGAATACCAAGATATGCAGTCTTGTCTCCACAATCTACAGACCGGAAATATGTGCCGGATGGGGCCTCCCAATGACCACCTCTACATTCACAAGGGGGACCATACTGGGTTAGCATAAATCTGGTAGCATTAAATGGTTGAAGGCCACCTCTTATGTTTTTGACTAAAAGTATAAGGGTCAGAACTCTGGTTATTAATTTTTGACCAGTCTTATCTTTAAAGGGTTTGATGTTCGTGTCAGTCGCCATCTCTCTTGCTGCTCTCCTGTTTGGGACACCCGGTGCGCAGGTTCTGCCACTTTGACGTGTGAGGCGTGGATCCAGGCTGCGATCCCGTCCACTTTGAGGGCTGTAGGGGTGGTGAGGAGGACTGTGCACGGTCCTTTCAGCGAGGCTCCAAGCTTCGAGCCTGATGCCTCCAGACCCAGACAGTGTCACCTGGTTGGAAGGGATGGGGGGCAATAAGGGTGTTAACAGCATCTTGGTAGGCTGCTGCCAGGGGTTTCCAGATTTCTTCGTGTGCCAGCTGCAACGCTTGCAGGTGTGTCTGCAGGGAACGGGTGCTAACAAAGTTAGAGATGTCTGGATCAAGAAAAGAGACAGCCGGGGGAGGGGTCCCATACAGAATTTCAAAGGGGGTTAATCCACTGGGCCCAGGAGTATTCCTGGCCCGATATAGGGCTAGGGGGAGGAGGGTCACCCAGTCCTTAGTGCCAGTTGCCAACGAAAATTTAGTTAAAGCCTCCTTAATAGTTCTATTCATTCGTTCTACCTGGCCTGAGCTCTGGGGTCTGTAAGCACAATGTAATTTCCATTCGATCCCCAGTAACCTGGCCACTGTCTGACTTACCTGGGAGACGAAGGCCGGCCCGTTATCCTACCCTATTACCTGAGGCATCCCGAATCGAGGAAAAATGTCTTCCAATAACTTCTTAGACACCATTTTGGCAGTTTCTGTCTTCGTCGGGTACGCCTCTGGCCATCCAGAGAAGGTGTCAATGAAAACTAGCAGATACTTGTATCCATATATTTCTGGCTTAACTTCAGTAAAATCGACTTTCCAATGGACCCCAGGCCTGTGACCTCTTTGCCTCACTCCTCCTTGGGCTTTATTTTTGCCCCAGTTCACCTGGGCACAGGCCTTACAG